GGTGTTACTTACTCTCCACAATTATTATCACAAGCTCAACATGCTGCCGCCGCTGCTTTATCACAACAATCACAAATTCGCAATTTTCAATTTTTTTTTAAAAAACATAATATTAAAAATATATGAAGAGGGGGAGAGAGAAATGGCATAATGGTTTTACACAATCGTTTTGCGATGACATTATTTTGTTTTATTGTGAATTCGGATGAAGTTTATATCTTTTTACGCTTAATGAATATGATCCTGTTTACTATCATAGTGATAGCACAAGTGTCGTTGTCAGTTTATGTCTTACTTCCCTCATTCAATAACTTGATCACATGGGTTATATTTGGTCATAAAAGTTCTCCCCCCGGGTCAAGAACAATGAAGCCAGAACTTCTATTATCTTCAACCACTGAAAATTTAGGTCCTTTGATTATCAGCCTTAATTTAAAGTGGCTTAGGTATACATAGGTAAGATGATTGATTGGCTGTAATAATTGAGTCAATCGTTGCTACTAACTATTTATTCAAGATTGGATGTAAAATTTTTCTTTAGTTTTTATTTTTTTAATATCAATATTATTAACTGCTTCAAGACACTTTTTTTATTTATTTTACTTTATTATAGAAGATGAAATTGCATCATCTTTAAACTCCTTCATATGCCAACTGGTGAAGGGTAAATTACCAGGTATTGGTTATTCATTATTATCTTTTAGTCGTTCACCCCATTCACCTGGGCATGAATTCAGTGAAGTTGATTGTGATGATGATGATTCATACAATTTTTTATCAGTTAAAAATGAAAGCGTCGATTAAGATATACGCATCCAAATAATTTGCCTTTTGTTAGAAAATGATTATTTTCTTACTTTTCACACCGTCAATTTTTTGTTTACAGACATAAATCTCTGGTATTCAAAAGTCGTTTTTAAATTTTCAATGCAGTAATAGTAATTGTTAATATATTCAAAACATATTGTACACCATGTATCAAACACAAGTCCAAGTAATCGAACATGCCCAAAATAATTTAATGAGAGCAAATAGAGCCTTGACTATACATGTCAAAAGTCAATAATTATGACAATGTCTAAATACTTTTAACATTTCTGTTGCAAGTGGTCCTTCACCATATTGACGTAGACGAGTATAAAAAGTAAATGATGGTATATCTTTAATTGGTGAAACGCATTCAATTAGCTAGCTCTTGAATAATCGGAATCGTGGAACGTTTGTGAACGTTTAACAGTTAAAAAAAAAAAAATAGAGAGCAATCAAGAAAGATAAATTATAACAAATAACAGTCATTTTGTACGATACAACATATTATTACTATATGACGTCACACACACATGATATATTGAGAGTTTTATAAAAAGTTTATTTTTTTATATATGCTTTGCTATACATAATTTTAATTTTTTTAAAAAAAATTTTAAAAATTTAAAATTATAAAAAAAATTTTTTTATTTCTAATTAATTAATTAAAAGAAAAAAGCAAGAAATATGAATGAAAAAAATTGAAAAAAATAATAAATCACAACCCTTACGCAATTATTAATCGTTGTTTGTGTTTTTTTTAAATTATTTACAAATAAAAAAAAAGTATTGAAAAGTTGAAAAATAAAAAAGAAAATAAAAATTCTTAAAATCTTCATATCGCTTATATATTATTATTATTAATTATTATTAATTATTAATTAATTAGTTCTCTTATTATATATATTATATATAAAAATTATATTGACATATTAAGATTTGTGAGATTTTTTGCAGCAACAGCTTCGGCAGCTTTACGTTCTTCTTCTTCACGTTTTTGACGTCTCCATTGTTTACGAAGTTCTTTAAATTCTTTTAAATTTAAAAAAAAATAATAATAAATAAATAATTAATATTAATTATTATTAATGAAATAAATCTACAACTAAAATAGGTACTCTATCTTATCCATATATTTATTATAAACAGCAACAACTAATTACCTGATGGATGACGTTTTGGGCCATGTTTTTGCATTTGTACGTGAGCATTTAAATGATTAAGTGTGCCATAGCTTTTGGTACAACCAGGGAAATTGCAAGAGTAATGACGTTCAATCTCATCATACCTTCTTCTGGGACGTTTCTTTGTGTTTATACCCGGTAATGCGACAAATGAATATACTTTTTGTGGACGTTGTTGTTGTTGTTGCTGTTGTTGTTGTTGCTGCTGTTGTTGATTATGTTGGTGATCATGCGATTGGGAATTCATATCGACATTATTTCCACCACAACCATCACTCATATGATGGTCACCACCAACTATCATACCGTTACTATTTATTATATTACGACGACCATTTGATGACTGTGAATTTGATGTAGCTGTACGTTGTGAATTGGCAGCGGCTATTAAATTACCATTTGTTAAAGAATGGGCAGCGGCCATGAAATGATTATGAAGCAAGGCTTGATGTTGAGCAACTGCGGCGGCTGCAGCGGCTTGTTGTTGTTGATAATTTAAGGCGGCATTATGTGCATTGATTGAATTATCCGAAGTAGTGGTAGTGGGACCAACACGTGGTAAATTAGTGATTTGTGATTGTTGTGATAAAGCAGCGGCGGCAGCATGTTGAGCTTGTGATAATAATTGTGGAGAGTAAGTAACACCATCGGACGCTTGAGCAGCTGCAGCTGCAGCATAATTTGCAGCATTTACATCAGAATATTGTTGTTGGATTGATTGTAAGAAATTAGCTTGGGCAGCGGCGGCGGCAGCCGTTGACAATTGTATATTTGATGAAGCGGTAGCAGCATTGTTGGTGTTGGAAGGATGAGAAGATTGATGATGATGATGATTATGATGATGCTGATTATTTTGATGATGATGATTATGAATTTGTTGATGCTGATGCTGAATTTGTTGTTGTTGAGAGTGATGATGATTATTATGATGATGTTGGATATTGTTGATTGGTGTAGAGGTGAGAATTGGAGAATTGTCATTGGAATTATTGTCAGTTGAATTTGAAGGTCCTGGAATTGTCATGTTATTATTATTATTGTTAATAGATGACGATGACGATGACGGAAAGACTTGAGATAATGGAGGAAGAATATTTGAACCATTTTCTGGCGACATATTATTATTAGAAGCAGTACCAGAGGGTAAGACATTATTATGATTATTAACAGGAGAAACTTGATTATTCGTTATGGGAGAATTTTTCGAAAAATCTGGATGGTTCATTGTAGAGTTCGGAGAGGGTGCAGCGGTAGAAGTCAATGTAGTTGTTGCTATTGAAGGAGACGAGCATGCAGAAGAAGCAGCAGTATTTGTAGCAGTTGACACAGCGGCGACAACGGCAGCGGAAGGATCGTATCTGTAACCAAGATGAGTTGAGTGATATCCGTTTGAATCGATCGTTGTGGCAGTTGTTGGAACGAAGCCTTGATCAGAAGTTGTAGATGAGTTCGATATGGATTGATGATTATTAGACGCGGATGAATTAGATTGTCTTGATAACAATGGAGATGAAGTTGATGATGATCTTTGATTATTTTGCCCGGTAGCGGTAGTTGCGTTTGAAGGATAATTCAGATGAGAATTGCCATACACGAAAGGTTGCGATTGATATTGGGGAGCGGTTGTTGCTGTTGTTTGATACATTTGAGAAGTGAAGTTTTGAGGTGTATTTGGAGTAAAGTTACCAATCGATGGATTATTATTATTATTGTTTAAAAAATCAAGATTCCTTTGATTGAAACTGTTATGAAGGTCGTTTTCAGGTGTAGTCTGTAAGACAATCATAATATTTGATTTTTTGAAAAAAAATTTTTCCTGTTAAATTTTTTAATAATAATTAATGATATATATATTTAGCGTGTGTTTATCGTGTGCGAGTGAGTTTTGAATATGAATGAAAATGAGATGGGGAGAAAAAATTATTAGATAGAAACAAAAAAATTCTTATTTTTATTATTATTATTATTATTTATTATATATTTTATTTTTTTGATGGTGTGTGTGTGTTGGTGTTGTTTGATTGATGATGATAAAAAAATAAAAATTTTTTTGTGCAATTATAAACAAAATAAAACGATATACCAACCTAAAATAAAATATTTTAATTTTTTTTTTTATCGAGTTTAGTCTTTCTGAGTTTTAGTCTGAATACCGTTTTTTATTAATAAAAAATTAAGGACCAAATGATTATAATAATGATGATGATTACGATGATTATTATTTATTTATTTTTTTTTTTTAGGTTTTTTTTTTTTTGGAAAAAAAATTAAAAGATGATGTTTGAAAAATTTTAGGAAGAAAAAAAAATGGCCTTACTTGATGTATTTATATATGTTAATGAGAAATATTTTTTTTTATTTATTTATTTGTTTTACTTTAAATATAATTAATTAATTTATTTGAAAGATTTTCTTCTTTAAAATAATATTTTATTATTATCATATTTATTACAATTATAGTATAAAAATAAAAATAATAACTTACGGAAAACTCTCTCGATCATACTAAATAAAAAAAATATGTGATAATAAATGAAAAATTTTAAAATTTGACATTTTAAATAACTTATAAATAAATTATTTAAATAATAATATATTTTATTATTTTAAAAAATAAAATTCACACACTCTCTCTATATAGCATAAATAATTTATCTATTGATTCGATCGATAGATAACGAACCAAATATTTTTATATTTTGTTTGATTATATAAATTAATTTTTAATAATATTTTAAGCATATTCCAAATATGGGTAATTTATTTAGAAAGGACCCGGATTTTAAAGCTTGGGTACACATAATATTATACAATGTTTCATATTACATATATATGACATATTGGGCCAGAGAAGGAAGGAAAAGGCGGCGGTGTTAATGCGGATTTTGATTGCCTGAATTATCATGGAAATAAGGTGGTGGCGCGTAGATTTTGAAATGCGAGTTGGGTAAAACAAAAAACGATGACGAGTTGTTGTTGTTGTGATGGTGATTTGATTGATTTGTGGTTGTGTTAGGGTGTTTGTAAATGTAAATTGACGTTTTAATTTTTGATGTACGATGTGTGTGTGTGTGTGTGTGTGTGTGTGTATAGATAGAATGAAGATGGGAGGAAGGAGTGTTTGTGGATTGAATTATCGTTTCTGTTGGTTTTTTTGTTGTCGAGATAGAAATAAATTGATGGATGGATGGATGGATGGAATGTATGAATGAATGAATGAATGTATGTATGTATGAATGAATGAATGAATGAATGAAAAGTAAAAAAATAAAATCACCAAAGAATATGTGAAGAATGTGATATTGTATCATCATTATCATAATATATTACATCGGTAAACATTATTGTTAGTTTCACATTATTATTATTATTATTATTATTATTATTATTATTATTATTATGGTAATTTTAAAATAATGTGATAATCATATAATTGTTTCTCACAAAATTTAAATCAGGAATTAAAGTCATGTTTTCGTCATAACTTCCTTCTAATCACACATATCACACATTCATCACAAATTTAAATTAATTAGAATAAAAAATCTATGTTGAGAATTTTTGACATGTGTTTTTTTATCAAATTTCTCAAATGTATATTATTTATTAGTTATTATTATTTATTATTTATTATTATTCTTTATAGATAAAAATATTTATTATATATAAATACAAATATATATATATATTTTGTTACAAAAATTAATTATGATTTCGTAATGTTTGTATTTTGATCCAGTGAATTTTTTGTTTTTTGATCGGATTAATCATCATTTAAAGTATATAAAGCCGATTTTTTTTTTTAATAAAAATATTATCAAAAAAAGCAATAATCTTCATTCGCTTATTTTCTGTTTCACTGATAATAATAATAATGTGTGTGTGTGTGTGCAAGAGCAAATAGCAGTTGTGGTAATTATGATAATGGGCATAAATATAATGGCGAGGGTTTAGTAGTTAAATAGACAATGATAATGGACAAGTAAGATTAAATCGCTTCAAGTTTAAAGTAACAACATGCGGTAGATTAACTAAACTCAAGAAAGTAAAAAAACAGGACTTTTTTTGATTAAAAAATAAATTGTCTATAATGCCAATGTTTTTTTTTTTTATTTATTTATTACACAAATGAAAAAAATTAATTTATCGATCATCACACGGAAAAACGATATATTGTTTCAAAAATGCTTTTTGTGTTCTGTTGTCATTCATCATCAACAACAACCCACCCATCAAATAATCACTGTAATACAATTACAATTTATGTTGCATGAATGAAGAAGAAATGAGAAAAACGAAACTTTATTACTGTAATTAATTAATTAATTTATTAATTTATTAATTAATTAACAATAAACAATGTTACTACCCATATTTTTTTGATTGTTTTAAATTAATAATAAAAAACAATTGTGGTAGATGTGTTGTGTGGGGGAAGTAATAATATTTATTACGGAAATTTATTTTGTTGGTATGTGTGCAGATATACTTTTATTTGTCTTGATATTATTTCATTTTTTAAAAAAAATGTTTTTTATTTGCCAAATTCTTCCAATTCACCAAAAATATACAATTGTGTTATATGTAATATATAATATGTCTTATCTATCCATGACTTGCTTGCTTACTTGTACATATGTGTATGTGTGTTATATATGTATGTAGTGTTAAAAAATAAAAATAAAGCATGTTGATGTAATAATGAAGTAAAAATGACGATGACGAAGATAAATATGACAATGTGGTGGATCAATAATCCCAACCAGTATAACAAACATGTTGAGACGGTGATAGAAGAAACATATTTTTTTTTTTGACAATTAAAAAAAACAAATAAAACAATACAAATTAAGAAATTCCCGATCCAATACCCTGATCATTGTTCTAGCCATGCTCACAACGACCTTTTTTTTTTTATTTCGAAAAAAATCAAAATGTGTGTGTAATGTAATTAAATTAATTAGTGAAATCTAATATGCATGAATAAAAAAATAAAAAGGAAAGAAAGAGATGACTGTTAAGATATGGGGTTGTATAATTGTGTTGTGATTATGCATAAGTAACAAATTAACAAATTTATATTAATTAATAAAACTATCAAATGACTTTTTAAGCAATTTTAATAAATATAATAATGATTGTGATATTTTTTTCAGTAAATAAAATGGAGTTTTTCAATAATTGAATTTAAAGTTTGTTTGTAAAAAAAGAGAAAATAGTACAATCAAATCATGACACGTGCATAAAATAAAAATCCTTCGTTCGATCAATCTGTGTAACGATTGAGATCTAAATAGCTTAAATAGCATTGCTTAAATAGCATACGTAATCTACTGTTTTAAAATGTACAACATATAGCTAAAATCTCGAGTTCTATTTTTCTGTCTTCTATTTTTACCTTCCATAGGAATAACTTTTTAATTGGTTTCTTTTAACCCTTTTTACTACGAATGCTTACAAAAATACATGTAAACAAATAAAGATTGTTATATATATGTATATATGTATGTATTATAGACTTATCTATTGTTTCTGTTGTAAAATTTTAAATGTAAACAAACACATATTTATTACATAAAGATCATCAATATCTTTTCTCCATTCTCGTTTCCTTTTTACATTACTCCACCACCACCTCTTTCTCCTAATTTTGTCACCCCCTTTTTTTATTTATTGATTGATTGATCCTTCTATTAATAAAAAATTTAATTAATTTTTTAATATTAATGAACAAACAAAAAAAAACCGTTATTATTTCACAACAGCCATCTAATTGTAAATCATAACCAAATATTACTAAGCCAAGAAAAAATGGAAGAAGCCGTAATCATTACAATATAAATTATCAAAGAAATTTGTAATGGAAAAGTTTATAAATTCCAACAAATCTAAATAAAGAATTTTGGCGGGTAAAGTAAAAATAACAATCACAATCATAATGTTTAACTACGATGATGATTATATTTGGTGGTTGGTTGTTCGAAATCTTTTGTTTGAATGGTTGATGGTTTGATTGGTTAATCGAGTTGGTTGAATGGTGTGAAATACATGAGATTTTTTTTTAATTGAGTGAATACATACATATATATATGTATATATGTATGAAATATTGTATGTACGTAAATGATACGAATTTACATTTTTATTATTTTGATTGTATGAAAAAAAAATATATAATTTTTTTATTATAGAAAAAAATTTTTTTTGGCGGAATTAAAGTTTCAAACATTCTATTTTTTTATAACAAGATTTTATCAAGAAAAAAAAAAACTTTTTCCCATAAACATGTCAAAGTTGATTTTTTAAGCTTAGTCGATTTTCCCATTCGGTTTATTAGTTGACTTTATTTGGCAAGTCTTTGATTGATTTGATGACGACGATTATAAAGATAATAAGGCAAAACGCAGCGCAGCGCGGCGATGTTTGTTTGACATATTATATATCTAAGTTTCCTTATTTTATTTTAAAATTTTTTGTTTGTTGGAAGGATCGGGAATCTATTTCTCTTTTGGTCAATGCAATGTGAAATATGTATTTTCTTATTAATTATTATTATTTTAAGAGAGAGAGAGAGGCAAATGAAGGTGTTAATGTTAATGTATGGTCCCTGCGAAGCATGTGATTATTCCATTATATATTACATATTTATTTATCTTTTATGGAGTACATAAAACTATATACATATGGACTCGTTTTTTATTATTATTATTACTTCTGGAAGAAGAAGCGTAGAAGGTGTGATAAGAAAATGTTGACGATAATGGTGGTGTATAGTGAGTGAAAAAT